CAGGTACAAAAGAAAGTCATTTCTCCATCGAATTGTGACTGGCGATGAAAAGTGGATATATTTTGAGAATCCTAAGCGTAAAAGATCATGGGTAACTCCAGGCGAACCATCGACATCGACTGCAAGGCCAAATCGCTATGGACGGAAGACAATGTGCTCTGTGTTTGGTGGGATCAGAAAGGTGTGATATATTATGAGCTGCTAAAACCTGACGAAACCGTTAATACTGAACGCTGCCGACAACAAATGATCAATTTGAATCAAGCTTTGCGTGAAAAACGACCGGAATATCAAAAAAAGGCAACACAAAGTGATTTTGCTTCATGATAATGCACCATCACACACAGCAAAACTGGTCAAGGAAACGATTGAGCCGTTTGGTTGGGAAATACTTTCGCATGCGGCTTACTCACCAGACTTGGCTCCGTCCGATTACTACTTATTTGCATCGATGGGACACGCACTTTCTCAGCAGCGCTTCACTTCTTACGAAGATGTACGAAAATAGCTAGATGACTCGTTTGGCTCAAAAGAGCAACAATTTTTTTGGCGTGGCATCCACAAATTGTCAGACAGGTGGGAAAAATGTAAAGCTAGCGATGGGCAATACTTCGAATAAAATATTTGTTATCATTTTCATGCAATAAACGTGTATTTTCTATTTAAAAATTCCGGTTTCATATATATTTACATACCTGATAAAACTACGAATTCGAGAGGAATATTTTGAAAAATTCGGCATTTGGCTGTAAAATGTTTCGAAAACTTTTTATATGCTTTATATTTCGAGAAACATGTTGAAGTTTATCCTGTTAAAATTTAAAAGAAAAATATTCATATTTGGCTGAGATATAGCGAGTTAAACACAAACACCTATTGAAATTTTTTCATTAAAAAAATTACTTTTTTTGTTTATAACTTGAAGAGAAAAAAAATTCCTTTGGTTTAATGACAAAAAGGATGCGCTATGAAATTTTCTACAAGAATCAGTCGTCAAAATTGAAATTAGAGCGATGTCCAAAATTAGTCCTTGGGGACAATACTTATCTCGCGAGATCCACGCGTATCCCCTTATAGAATCCAGCCCCTCAATTTTTTTGGAGAAGTAGCAGCCTTTGTTATTGAATTGTATGTTATTGAATTTCAAAAACGCGATTTGCCACATGTTCACATATTAGTTACTTTAAAATACAATTTTACCTGATCCGTGTGAAAATCATATTTTACATAATATAGTTATGAAGCATATGATTCATGGACTTTGTGGTGATTGATGTTTAATAGATGGAAAATGTTGAAAACATTATCCTAAACCATATCTTGAAGAAACTAAAATGAATGAAGATCCTTATTATCGTCGAAGAAATAATGGTAAAAATTTTGAACGTCCTGGTGGATATATAGTTGATAACCGTTATGTAGTACCATATTGTCCTATTTTATCAATTATTTTTAATTGTCACATAAATGTTGAGATAGTTTCAAGTATCAAATCGGTTAAATATCTGTATAAATATATTTACAAAGGTCATGATGTTGCTGCTATAACAATTGAACCAATCACAGAAAATGTAATTATTAATCATGATGAAATATATAACTATATAGAAACTCGTTATATTGGACCTGTAGAAGCCAGTTGGCGAATTCTTGAAAAAAAATTACAAGATAAAAGTCATACTACAGTATGTTTACCAGTTCATCTTCCTAATGAACAAAATGTTATATTTGAAAATGAAACTGTTGAAAAAACAATGACGACTGTTTTGAATCAAAGCACTATTAGAAAGTTACTATGTTAATTGATTATTTCAATTTAAATTTTCGCGATGAAGAAGCAAGACAGTATTTATGTATAGAAAAATTCCGCGTTATTATTTATTTAAGAAAGAGAAAATCAATGGAAAAAATATATTACGTTAGGTCAAACGCAAAAGTTATTATAATTGTATAGGACGAATGTATTTCATTAATCCAATACAAATAGAATTATTTCATTTACAATTATTATTACTCACTATAAAAGGAGCTACCAGTTTCAATGATTTAAAAACTGTAAATGGAAAAGTATGTCAGTCATTTTCAACGGCATGTTTAGCTTTAGGTTTGATTGAAGACGATGATGAATGGATACGAGCTATGAATGAAGCTGTTGGATGGGTGATGCCAAGACAACTTCATAGATTATTTATACGTATATTATTACATTGTCAACCGTTGCATCCTGAACAACTTTGGGAAAATTTTAAAGTAGCAATGTCGGAAGATTATATTCGACACTTAGAACTATTAGAAGGACAAAGAAAGGCATATATACAAATTAATATTATGCTTTATGCTGAAGGAAAAAGTTTTGCAGATTTTCAAATGGAACAATTGATAGAAAATAATGAAGAAAATAATTATATAACACTTGAAGAAGGTATGGAAGTTGGTAATAGACAATATAAACAATTAAATGATAAGCAAAAAGAAATAGTAAATTTTATATTAAATAAATTAGATACTAATGAGCGTAGTAATAATTGTATTTATATCGATGGTCCAAGTGGTTCAGGTAAAACATTTATATATACAACTATTTATTATTTAGCTAAAATTCGAAATAAACATATTTGTACAATGACTTTTACGGGTATTGCAGCGACGTTATTACCAGGAGGAAAAACAGTTCATAAAACATTTGAATTACCAGTTCCATTATTTGCTGATTCATCATCTAGCATTAAAATCCAAAGAAGCTCATTATTTAAAAGAAACAGATATTTTTATTTAGGATGAAGCGCAAATGGATATGCTTTAGAAATTATGGATCGTACCACGATATGCTTTAGAAATTATGGATCGTACATTACGTGATATTATGAATAATGATGACTTACCCTTTGGTGGAAAAATTGTTATATTAGGTGGTGATTTTAGACAACTTCTCCCTATTAAAATACATGGCACTCGAACTGAATTATTTATATATTTCAATCAAATTTTCAATCTTTCAATCAAATTTAGTTCTATTTGGAAATATTTTATAAATTTTTCTTTAACAGAAAATATACGAGTTCTTCCAGAAGAACGTGAATTTGCAAAATTTTTATTAGATATAGGAGATGGCATATTAAATGATTGTAATGATAATATACAACTTCCTAATTATTGTATCGCATGATGCTGATATTGTACAAGATATATATGGTGATATAATACGAAATAAAGAATTTAATAAAATGGAAAAATGTGCTATCCTTTCTGCGAGAAATATTGATGTTGATGAAATTAACAAACGAGTTGTCGAATTATCAGACACATTTGATGAACGAATCTATAGAAGTATAGATAGAGTACTGAAAATTGTGATAATAATGAAATTAATGAAGTTTTATTATACCAAAATATCTAAATATTATACTTTATCTCCATCATGTCTTCCACCTTATGAATTGCGTTTAAAACCAAATTGTGTTATTATGTTGATTAGAAATCTTAGTATTAATGAAGGTCTATGTAACGGCACGAGATTAATGGTCATTGAACTTGCTGATCATTAAAATGTAAAATCTTAACAGGTGATAGAATAGGAGATATCGTTTTTTTTTAATCGTATAACACTATATTGCGAAAATGTATATCCTTTCACTTTTAAGAGAAGACAATTTCCAATTAAATTAGCTTTTGCTATGACAATCAACAAATCACAAGATCAAACATTTGATAAAATAGGAGTAGATTTTCTAAAAGATATTTTTAATCATGGGCAACTTTATGTAGCTTTTTCAAGAGTACGTTCTTGGGAAACATTAAAAGTTTATCTAGGTAATCACCGTAATAATAAACAAATTAAAAAATTATGTAAATAAAGAAATATATAAATAATTCCTTTTTCTTTAAATATATAAGGGTGTATAAAAAGTCCTGGACCCTTTAAATATCTTGAAAAGTAATCATTTTTGAGAAAAATATTTTATACAAAAGATGTAGGGTTGAAAATGATCTATTGACTGATCTTATCAATTTGACCTTGAATGGTGCCACCAAGGTCAAGTCAAGGTCAAATCGATTTTTTTAAACGAAACACCCTCTTTTTATTCTAGAATCTAACAGCTGAGGTCAGGAGCTTTCCAAAACACTATAATAAAGCCTCTTTTTAATCAGTACTTTTCGAGTTATGAGAGTTGAAAGTTACGGAACCGCTGCGTCATTAGCATTACCTAAGCTAAGATGATCGTATCCATTTTAATGAAGCGAGGATGGGGTGGTCATAGAAGGTCTTACGCAAGCGACAAGACTTTTCAATCAATTTTTTAGAAATAAAGACAATGGTATATCTAAATCAACTGTTATACGTTTGGGCATTTGTCATTCCTTTAACCCAGCTCGCCCTACCAGTTTTTAATTACTTTCTCGGCTAGACCCCAACGGAATCTGGAACTTCGTCAAGTTATATCTCTGAATAGAAAACATATTTTTAACTTGTCACATGCAAAATTGATATTTCTAGAATAAGACAAGAACAAATAAACAAAGATGTGAAACAAAAAATATTTTATTCTTAAATTACATCATAAAAAGTTAAAGTCTGAAATGCAATGTGAAAACTCGCATTAGATACGTCATATCCCAGTATGGCGAGCTAGGGTTAAAAGAATATTACATATTATAGCACACACACACACAAATACTCAAATTGGCGTTCCTCCGCAGTCTAACAATGCGCTAGACGATTATGAAAACTTAAGACTACATTTCTACAGAATTCGCGAGGCATTATTCTAAATGCATTTATTATTCGTTGACGTAAATCATTAAGATTTCGAGGTTTAGTATTATAAATTTTTCCCTTTAAATATCCCCACGAAAAATGGTCGAGTGGATTTAGATCAGGCGATCGTGCTGGCCATTCAATGTAACTCCTTCTTCCTATCCACCTATTCGGAAAAACTTCATTCAGATATTGGCGTACTCGTAAACCGTAGTTTACGAGGTGGCGCCCCATCTTGCTGGAACTAAATGTCATTGAAGTTTTGACGAGCGATGTTTCGGATTGCCGGAACTATTTCATCTTGAAGCATGGCTAAGTAATTGTCAGCGTTTAAATTACCTTCAATAAAGAAAGGCTCAATAATGGCTTCATTTAAAATTCCAGCCCATACGTTGACTTTTTGCTGATTCTGAGTATGTGCCTCGTACATCCAATGAGGATTTTCATCGCTCCAATATCTACAATTATGTCGATTTACATTCCCGATTAGCTCAAAAGTAGCTTCATCTGAAAAAATAATGTTGTCTAGAAGTAAAAGATTTCTATCAATATTTAACATCATACTTTCACAAAATTCAATGCGACGATCAAAATCATCTTCACATAGTTCCTGCGCCAGATGAATCTTATATGGATGAAATTTCTCCTTTTTTAGAATTTTATGAACTGACATAGGATCGATGTCGTGTTGTTGTGCAACTTTGCGAACTGAATTATGCGGATCTTCGATAAAAGACTGTAGAACATTCAATCTTTTATCAGGATTTGTAGCTATTGCTGGTCTACCTTGTCTATTACAGTCTTTTACGAAACCTGTTTCTTCAAAACGTTGTACAATACAAATAACAGTCGATTCAGATATACCATCGTCCTCATTCCTAAAAGTTTATTGAAAAGTTCTGTTACATGTGCGTGAGACCTCCTACGATCATCCCATCCTCGCATCATTAAAAGGGATATACGCTCCTGTTCACACAGTAAGCATTATAAAGTATTTTAAATAAATACTTTATAAACAAAGATAATTATGCGGCGATAAGTAATCTCAGAATGGAGTATCACGAAAAAGTATACCTTCTTAATCGCAGGTCACAGAAAGAGTGAACTTAACAGGAGAGATCTCTAGCTTATGTAGTCTCCAGCTTTGTTAAAAAGGTGGAAAGAAGGGAGAGGGAATAGAAAGGAGTAGGAGGGAAAGGCGAGGAAGGAGAAGGAAAGGGTAGGAGGGAGGAAGAGATAGAAGTACAGATATTCGCGGGCACACACATGACTCATAAATCCAGTCGGGCAATCTCTAGGTAATATCTTAGATAATGCTAATGTCGACGGTTTCGTAAATTTCAACTTTCATAACTTGAAAAGTACTGATTAAAAAGAGGCTTTATTATAGTGTTTTGGAAAGCTCCCGACCTCAGCTATTAGATTCTAGAATCAAAAATAGGGTGTTTCATTTAAAAAAATCGATTTGACCTTGATTTGACCTTGATGGCACCATCCAAGGTCAAATTGATAAGGTCAGTCAATAGATCATTTTCAATCCTACATCTTTTGTATAAAACATTTTTCTCAAAAATGGTTACTTTTCAAGATATTTAAGGGGTCCGGGACTTTTTATACACTCTGTATAAATAATAACATAAAGATACTTAATAATATAAAAGGATATAACATTTTTAATAATATATTTTTTAGTATATATAATCATATATATGCATATTCAATTATATATATATATATATATATAAAGGGAGACTAATAATTCTTCTCCGTCTCTTTAAAAGCCCAGAAAGGAGACTGTCAGGGCCGATGAAATTCGAATTTCAATATCGGCCCCGACAGAGTAGGGGTCGGAGTTCCTGACGGGGACCGGGAACTCTGACTCTGTCCCCCCACCATCATAAAAAGGGGACGAGGCGAGGAGGATTAGTATCCCCTTTCTCGTCCGTCGAACAACTAAACATGTCCTAGGGTAGCTAACGCCCAGAGCAGTTTGACACTCGCACAATCCGCGGGTTAGGACCGACTAAGGTCGGCGGACCAGGGGTGCTGGAGTATACTGCACACATTTCCGGAGGTCCCCCGGTTAGGGCATGAGTAGGATACCCGGTGGGATTTTAGTGGGTGAGAGTCCCACATACCCACAGTTCTCCCCCGAGGCCGTGGGATGCATAACGCATTTCTACACCGATAAAAAAAAAGTGGACAATGTCAATATTGCTCAATCTAATCGCGTTGCGGGCAATATTGACATTACCTAAACAATATTTCATTGTAAATAAAGTATAGTGTACTTACAGTACTTAAGTAATAATGAATAATGCCTGTATGAGTCGACAGAGTGAATGTGTGTGAAAATCAATTTATTGAAATTACAAGGAGTAACCAAAATTGTGAAACGTAGACGTTTCGACCCTCGGTTTGGGTCCTCTTCAGTACAAAAAATTACATAGACGCCGAAGACAAGATTAATATATTTTTAAAAAAATGAATTACTTTATATTTACATGAAAAATGCTCTGTTTTATGATAATGTAAAGTACATTTTTAGTAAATATTTTATTATAGAAATGATTTTTCAAAATTATATGTTTGTAGTTTATTCATTTTTTCTAAATTAGGAAAGTAGATTTAATGATTTTTAAATGTCATGCATATTGTATTACTAGACTATTAAATTTTAATAAGTACTGTACTTTATAAAATAAATTTTAGTAAGTACTGTACTTTATAAAAGTACAGTACTGTAAGTACTGTAAAAACTATTATATTCTTGACATTGTAGTATTAGAATTTTTGTCGTTTTTAATCATAAAAAACTTACCCTTGTAAATTTTTACGATTCTAAAAAGGACAAAAATTCTAATACTACAATGTCAAGGATATAAATAGTTTTTAAATTAGTAAAATAGTTAAAATTAACTAATTACTTGTTTGGTATTTTGTGTGTTCAATAATGGCGTGATCGGCAGATTTTGAAAATGCCAAGGTTATTAATATTTTATGTTTACTCTAACACATTTTATTCATTCAAAAAAAGTATATGTATCTGGTAAAAGTAGCTATAAAGCCTCTATGAGAGCAGCTAAAGATATCAATTATACGTGTATGATTGACAAAAAAAGCCAATATTCATAGAATGTTTATAGTCGATTAGCTTATATTCAAACCATCTTAAGATGTAAAAAAAAATGAAAATTAATAGTAAATAAAAATTTACAACTTATTATTTTATTTTTTTATTAAATTAAAATTAATAATATGAAAATTTTAATGGCGCGCGCGAAGCGTGCACTTGTTATGTTCTAGTATGACAAAAACGATATAGGAATATAGAAAATCTATCAAATATTTCAGATAAATAATCTGAATTTTACGAACCAAAAACACGATTTAATCAAATAGAGTTTTTTCCTATCTGATTCTATCGGACTTTTTAAACAGGGCAGAAACGCCTCAAACATCTAGATGTAAAATGTCATTTCGTAAAAGATTTATATCGAAAGTATATAATTAATGTTGTATACATTCCATCTTCACAACAAAAAGCTGATATTCTTACAAAAGGACTAGCTGCAGAACAATTTAGAATAATATAATTATAAAGGCATATGACCACGAACACCTGTTATCGTTGGCTTAAAATTATTATATTTAATAAAGTACAATTAATAGACGTTTCGGTCTTCAATGAGACCTTCAGTATTCATATAAATTAAAAGTAATACGCATAATTATAACATAATTTAAGACTTAAAATTAGATTCGTAACAAATATCAGTATTATTTTTTTGCTATTACAAAATTTCGTCAATACTTTACTCGCAAAAGTTTTTATCCCCTCTCTTCTCTTTCCTTACTAGATGTGATTTTTATTCTCCTTTAAACGCAATAGTTCCGTATCAGTTTGTTAGTATGAGCAGATCTTGGAACGTAATCACGAACAATTGTGTAAGCAAATTCTCTCGATGTATGTCCACACAAAAGTTCCAGTTTCTGTGTCGAAGAAGAGATAATTTGCAATCAAGAACGTGGAAAACTCATGTGATACCAACCAATGCTAAAAACGTTATATAACGTTATACATTCGTACATTCGTACCACGTATCTATCCTAGATTGACAATTTAGAATATTGAGAACAGCTTTAAGACTGATCCCATGTCTACAAGATAAAAATTTCTAAGTTCCATAAGCAATCAAATCATTAAATTATTCTTTCTTTTTTTGTTTTGTTTTATCAAATTGAAGAGGAGTGTTAGGGAACTCAATCTGACACTTTCTGTAAGTTGTGACACTGAAAGAAACTTATGTTAGTTATTGAAATAAAAATGAACACACTTCTGTAATACATATTCGAAAACTTGTGCTCTTTACTCTCTGAACTTTTTCCCGAGTTAATTCTACAAGATACGCAATATCGTCGCTAAAATATAATAATAGTTTTGAAGAAGAATTAAATAATCACTATTTTAGTTGGTAGAGAAAATGTCTGTATGTGTGTGTGTGTGTGTGTGTGTGTGTGTGTGCGTGCGTGCGTGCGTGCGTGCGTGCGTGTGTGAATTGTGATATAATAATTTCATTTAAGAGGAATTTAAACCATTCTCGGATTGGAATAGAAAGATCTTCAATAAGATATACGCGTATACTTAGGTTTCATTGTATAAAAATTAAAGACAGTACCATTTGGATTAAGTAAATAATAAAAATAGTATCACTTGGGTTATTACTTAACTTACTTTTTATTTTGATAGTAAAATTTAACTTGGCGCCACAGTTGTTGATATCAAATCTTTTGTACAAATAATACGTATCATTAGATTAATATTCATTATTTATTTAATTTGTCATGGTATAAAAAAATGGGATTTAACTTGGCAACAGTTTTTGATATCAAATTTTTTATAGGAATGATACATATCATTAAAGTTAATATTATTTATTTAATTTGGTATCCGAATTACACAACTTGGCACTAATTGTTGATATCAAATCTTTTATATGAATGATACATATCATTAGAGTTAAGTAAATAACAAGAGACAATACCATTTGTTATACTTTTTAATTTGATAGAATTTAACTTGATTAAGATTGTAGCATCTGGGTTTTAATTTTTCATTTGATACATTAATTTTTTTCGAAGAGTAATAATATTTGACAGAGAATTAAAATTGCCATTACTTGGGTTGGAACAAGACCTTCAATAAGAATATCCTTGAAGAAAAATTAAAACTACTATTAATTGGGTTGGATACTTAGGTCTTATTTGAGAAACAAGTATGCTTATCAATAGTAACCTAAGACATGCATGCACATATACTAAAGATGCCTCTAAAAATTCGTAAATTGCAAAACGTAGTTCGCAAACGCAAACGCAAAATGAAGATTTGCGTTTGTTTTTTCATTGCATGCAGTTAGTTTTCATCTATGTATCTTGCGTGCGATTTATATTTGCGAACTACGTTTTGCGATTTGCGAATTATGTAGAGGCACCCTTAAGAATGTATGCACACATTCAGGGTGCGTTCGCACCTTGACAAGCAGAGTATCAATGCGCGCATTCAGCGGACTCAATAGTTGAGTGAGCGCTCACTGTTATTAGTGTATTCTTTTAGCTCATCCAATCAGAATTTTAGATTTAGAAGAATACACCAATAACAGTGTGCGCTCACTCAACTGTTGAATCCGCTGAATGCGCCCAATGAATCAATCATAAAACTTTTTTCCTAGGAAAAGTAAAAAGTGAAAAATATCTCCATTAACTTCAATGGTTAAAATTTTCACTTTTCACTTTCCATTCTAGAGATAAAGAGGTCGATTCTGTATCTACAAACAAGGTGAAAATTACAAAAGTGAGCAAATTTACTAGGCGTTGACTAATGAAATTATCAGTATTCTAGTAAATTCGCTCACAAAAGTAATTTTCACCTCATTTCAAGATACAGAATCGATCCCAAAGTTTCATGATTGATATCCAGAAAGCGGAAAAGCAGTGGCTAATCAGAACTTGCGCTGGTAGTAAATAGTACAAAAAGCCGAAATTGTATACTACCAGCTAGAGTTCTGGGTAGCGATCATATAACTGTTTCGGAGGGCGGATACGTGAAAAGTGAAAATTCTTTGTATGTATGTGTGCATATGTACAAACATACATACATACAAAATTTCATTTTTCGTTTTTGCTCTAGCGAAAAAGTTACACGATCGCTACCCTGATTGACTGCTGCTTTTCCGCTCAGGGTGCCTACCCATGCAGCGGAATAGCGTAACGCCGAACGAGAGCGAAACCAATCACAAGCGTTCCGCTGCAACCAATTGCAGTTGATGTGGAACGCTTGTGATTGGTTCTGCTTTTGTTCGATGTTACGCTATATTCCGCTGCATGGGTAGGCACCCTTACATTCTATTATAAAGTTAACGTTTGCGAATTGTTAATGAATTGTAATTCATATCGACCTTAAATTTTATAAAAAGGAAACATCCCACACATACGCTTTATACAAAATATGTAATGTAAATTTAAAATGAGCAATCTTTATTCTTTACTTTTCACACTTGTAAAAAATTATGATTTACGTTCACTGATAGTTACATAAATAAAACAAGTTACATGTTTTTGTTATAATTTATAATTATATGACTCGTCTTAATTAACGTAACAGTAGCTGTTGTAAGATACAAATAAATAAAACTTCTGAATGAATATTTTACGTGACCCTAATTCGTCCGATATATGAAAAAAATAATCATTTTTTGTATGATCGTAAATAATAATATGAGTTTGTTTATTGTTGTATACTTATGTAATTTTATTATAATTTCTTATATTGTAGAGTTGTACTTGCAAAGCGAAGTTGCAGAAATAAATCACTCAATTACGCCACTCGCTTTCTACCGAGAGTATGGCTGCGTTCAGCAGACTCGACAGTTTTGCAACCGTTTTATGATTCTTCGCTCAGATTGGACTATTCCTTTAAAACTAAAAGTTTAAACAAATCAACGCGACGAATCATAAAACGGTTGCAAAACTGTTGAGTCTGCTGAACGCAGCCTATGTCTCGAAAAATATACCATTAGTAATAAGAGGTGCAATAAAACATTGGCCTGCTGTAAACAAATGGTCTATTGTTAACCTAACCATATTTTCGCAAAGTGCTTGATGACGAAAAGATTTCAGTCGCTGTAACGCCAAATGGCTATGCAGATGCAGTAATTAAAGGAGATGACGGTACCAAGGAATTTTTCGTAATGCCCGAGGAACGTTTACTCACAATATCAGCGTTTCTTGACACATTAGAAAACACGATAGAAAACAGCGTATTTTATATACAGAAACAGAACTCAAATTTTATACACAACTTTTGTAAGTTGTGGCCGGACGCAGAAATTGAAATATTGTGGGCCAGCAAAGCATTTGGAAAGCATCCTGATGCTGTAAACTTTTGGATGGGAGACGAAAGAGCTGTAACTTCTAGTAAAGTTTTATTTTACTTAGTAACACAAATACTCGAAAGTGCTTGAATATCTAAATGATATAAGATGATCGTCATTAAGTAAATTTTATTCTTATAATTTCAAGAATTTTACAAAATGTATTTTTGTTCACACATAATTTTATTAGTGTATATAGTTAATTCTGAAGATCAGTAACATTCGAATTAAATTACATATTTTTACTATTTATAGTGCATAAAGATCCTTACGAAAATATATATCGTGTTGTGTCTGGTGAAAAAAACTTTACTTTACATCCTCCCACGGATTTACCATGGATTCCATATCAAAATTATCCATCTGCTGTTTACAAGGAACACAAACCCGGGAAATGGATTATTGAGTCAATTAATGAAACGCTTGATTCAGCAAGAATCACAAATTTAACATCAACACTATGGATATGTGTCGATTCTTTAAATCCGGATTGCGAAGTTTAATGACATTTTTTATTTTTAAAATGACATTTATTTTCAAAATTAATAGAAAAAATATATTTAAAGATTTACTTATAGATATCCAGAATATCGTAACACACATAACTTGAAAGTGACTCAGAGCTGGAGATATATTGTACTTGCCATCCTTATGGTTCCATCATGTGACACAGTCACATGCTTGCATATCCATCAATTATTGGTACGATATGGAATTCGATATAAAGTATGCTTACTTCAAAGCACTGGAGACATTATGCAAATAAACGAGTAAGTGGTTAAGGCACTCTGTAAACATTTATGTGTATAGATGATACTATTTTATTTTAAGTCATTTGCTGCATGCAAAAGAAATCTTATTCTTGTATATTTGTATCTTCCGCTCTTTCTGTATATATCTGTATCTGCACACACAGATATATGTATATGCGATGTACATGTATGTATATTCTGTATATATATGTTGTTTATGGCGTATAATACATTGCTACATTATATACTATTGACTATTCCATAATATACTTATATACTAATGCTATATCAAAACATCTACACATATTTTTTAATTAATATATGTTATTGATATACTTATTAAATAAAATGCTTATTTTATCATTACGTCAATGATACAAAGATAATAACATAATATACGTTATTATTCTTACAGAAGTTACAATCTTACTGTCGTGCTTTACGAAACTGTCAAAAAACTACAAGAAAATTTAAGTCAAGCTGTTTCGTCGTTTTCCCCGGTAAGCAAATTATATTTACGTTTTGTACCATAATTCTGAGTTTCATACATCTTTCGGTTTTCTAGATATTTCCGGTAATTGTTCTCGCGTTTTCTTCGCTGCTCCTCCGCCTGCTGTCGCAGTTTTTCAGGATTCATATGTGTGGTTACCATGTGCCTCGTTAATGAACTCATGAATTTGTATGTGATTCCACACACATCGCAAGAAAGTATTTCCTCATTTCCTCCCTGTTGCTATTTGTGAAAAAGAAAAATGATTTATAATTACACAAATCCAAATAAATTATAAATGTGCAAAAAAATATATAATCAAATGCATTAAGATAGTTCTACAATAAACAAACTATAGAATCGAAGCCTTACACGGTCTAGCTGGATCTTAATGCTTGTATGATTCTTATGTGAATTTATATACTACGTATGTTAAATTTATATACTACGTATAAATTCACATAAGAATCATACAAGCATTAAGATCCAGCTAGGCCGTGTAAGGCTTCGATTCTATAGTTTGTGTTATCACATGTACGGTCCTATAATATATTATATTATTTATTTACGTCGCCTAAAGAGACGTTGTTCCTTCATATGCCAATTATTGCGAAGAATATTACTAAGGCCTCGGTAGTCTAAAGGCTCAGGACGCTCGCACGGATTGCAAGAGATCCGGGTTCGACTCCCGGCCGAGGTAATATTTTTTCGCAATAAGAATTAATTATTTACAGATTTTAATATATTATTCATCATTATTAAGATCGTTTCGAAGATGCGAATAAGCATCAAAAATTTGTTAAATTGCTAGTCAATTTAACTCATGATATTACTGCGGTAGTTTAGTAGAGTTAGCGTTTCAAGACCGGAAATTTTTCGGCGCGCGTTTCTGTGGGACTACATACGTAGTATATAAATTCACATAAGAATCATACAAGCATTAAGATCCAGCTAGACCGTGTAAGGCTTCGATTCTATAGTTTGTGTTATCACATGTACGGTCCTATAATATATTATATTATTCTACAATAAAGTGCCGAAAATTTGGGGTGCCTCACAAAGTCCCATCTAAAACCACAAATATCTGCATAATTTGGATAAAATATTAAAATTATGTGTATATTTTAAAAACAGTATGAAATAAATGATATTTAAGTATGCAAAAACAATGAGATAAAGAGAAGTTTCATTCGATATTAAGATTTTATTGGATATTTTACCATTTTAACATTACAAGAATGTTCGATAACTTATTACTTTTTTGTGACCATTATAATCATAATTTTTTTAACTATTATGATCTCATTACATCTATTTCTTATTGTTGAATTTTTAAATGTATGGTCCAGTAAAATTCTTATTGTTTATATTACGTCGCTTGAAAAAAAACGTTTCCTTACATATACTGAATATTGCGAAGAATATTAATAAGGCCTCGGTAGTCTAAAGGCTTAGGATGCTCATATGAAATACAAGAGATCCGGGTTCGACTCCCACGCGCGCGCGCGACCGAGGTAATATTTTTCGCAATAAATTTATTTACAATTTTTCAGCATATTAACATCTTAATATGATGCCTGATTGAGCATTAATTATGAACAAATTGCTTGTCAATTTAATTCGCGATATTACTACAATAGTTTAATTCCGTTTATACTAAGTCCGGAAAACCAATTCAGCGAGCAGTTCGAATGACTATAAATATAGTATATATGCAAGTATATTTATAAATATATATTATATATAGAGGAAAGCTCCCTATTATGAGATAGGCGCCTAATATGAGATAGCGGCGTTTCTGCTAAACTAATAAACGCTATCTATTGGTTCCACCATGAATTTATTGCTCTTGGATTGAAAACTATTTAGTAGAAAATTCATTATTAGATCATGCCTATAGTCATTGTAAAACAAGATTTTAGAATTTGGATGAATTTTGGAATTTGGACTCTTCAAGTTTCATTGAGATGAGCCTTTAAACCTTGTTTATTATTTAATAAATAAATATTTGGCAATAAATTCTTCTTGTAGTGATAAAGTAAGGTCATACTAATAGAAAAATACGGGATATGTTGAATTGTTTAATTACAGAAGATAGATTTGATAATTGTAAAACCATAAGATGTGGAAATCGTAATATGAGATACCCAGGGTATTTCTAATATGAAATAACCCATGCTCCTATGTTATAGTGAAAATCATTGCTAAAGTATAAATATTATTGTACAATAATAAAAAAGACAACCGGAATAAACGTCGAGTGCCTATTTCTGCGATGCTTGATTCTAACTACCTGAAAACGAGTTCTAGGTACAATCTATCGCATGCTCACTTTTTACGCACACCGGCTGTGTTTGTTTGTATTTTAGAAATATTAAATAAAGTTTTTTAATTGTGCAATACTGATATACTTTGCGTTCTACTATCGATTTCTCGGGGCATCTCATATTAGGAGCACAATTTTTTGACTTTGAGATTTCCTCACTTTTCACATTTCTTTAATTTAAAAAAAAAATGGAATTTGAATGAAATTTTATATAACGTTATCTTAAAAACTTATTAAATTCCTTTCAAAATGACATATTATTTTTTTAAATTCTGCCTATAGACTTTCTAGCATTTACCCAAAATGAATTCGGTATCTCATAATAGGGGCCTTTCCTCTAGTAATTCAGATTAAATTATTTAAGCATTTAAGAGCTAGCTTTAATCGTTACGGCCATTATTTCTATTTTTTATTGTTGAATTTTCAAATGTACGGTCCAGTAAAATTCTTATTTTTATTATAATCTCGTTTTTTAGAGAAATTTATGATTTATTTCTAAAAAAGCATTATCCTTCTTGTAAAAGATACGATGCCTTGCTTATGAAAGATTTTATGAAAAGTATACACAGCGCAGAGGACGCTACTGTTTTTTTTATTGCATATAGAGTATCCCATTTTAAAGGATCCACTTAAATATCTCAAAAACACTGCATTAAATTGAAAAATGTTCCAGACAAAAGTTTTGTGACTTTGAGGGGAACATAAAATGGTACCGTTGGTTTGATCTTGAATGGCGTTGTTAAGGTCAGAACAAAATCACTTATAATTTTTTAAATAGGACTGCCTATATTTCACATTCTCATAGCTTACCTCGAAAACTTTTTAAAATACTATAATAAAATATTTTTTCATTAGATATTGTTCGAGTTACACAGCTTGAAAGTTACAATATCGCTGGTAATAGCATTACTCTAGCCGACAGCTAAAACCTCTTAAACGTGCTCAGAGTCTCAGAGTCATGACCTTGATAACATTTAGATCAAGGCCATTGGAGGTCATTTTTCTAATTTTTGTTTTTGTAAATTAGAGAATAAAAAGAACAATTCTCAATGGCCTTGACCTTGACAAATGTTATCAAGATTACGAATCAACTCATCCTCAGACATTTAAGATTTCAGTCGGATACCTTGAGTAATACTATTTATTTATGCGTTCTCTTAGGCAGTTTATTTTTACATAAAAATAAAATGATTTTCAGTGCAAAAATGAAAATAAGAGAAACAATGTCCAATGACTTTGATCTTAACGAATGTTATTTAAGACGTGATCTTGAACAACATTTAAGAGGTTTTAACCGTTGATCGGACTCCTTGCGTAATGCTAATGCCTATGGTATTGTAACTTTTAAGCCTTATAACTCGAAAAGTACTTTATGAAAAATAACTTTATTATAGTGATAATAAAATTGGAAATAAGACCGTTTATATATTAGAAACATTACTTAAGTACGAAGCGGCACTACGGTCTGATTGTTAAGATGTTGAACTATTATATATATTCATTTAAATGAATTAATTTCCAAAATTATAATTGCGCGCCGATATGGTTGTCGGACTTTCAACGCAATCGATCTGAGATATTAATAATCCCCCCCTAAGTTTTACTCCCGGCCGAGGCAATATTTTTCGCAATAAGTTTATTACAGTTTTTTAAGATTAAATTTGGGTAATTGGGGGGGATTATTAATATTTCAGATTGATTACGTTGAAAGTCCGACAACCATATCGGCGCGCAATTATAATTTCGGAAATTAATTCATTTAAATGAATATACATAATAGTTCAACATCTTAACATTCAAACCGTAGTGGCGCTTCGTACTTAAGTTTTATTATAGTGTTTTGAAAAGCTTTGGACACCAGCTATTAGATTCTGAAATAAAAAATTAAAGTATGCCATTTAAAAAAATCGATGTGACTTTAATCTAACCTTGGCAATGCCACCCAAGGTCAAACTGACCAGATCAGTGAATAGATCATTTAAAACCCTACAACTTTTGTAGGAAATATTTCTTTCGGAAATGCTTAGTTTTCGAGATGTTTCACAGGTCTAGGACTTTTTACTCATCCTGTATATGTATATGCATACAAAGAAGGTAGCCTTCCAACTCATGCACCGCGAATACGAAATTTCATGCACGCGGTGTGCAACTTACAAAGCTCTGGTTTACAGAATATAATTAAAATAATTATACATACTTGTTGATGTACCAGCATGTGTCTCTGCAGATTGTTCAGTCTATTGAACTCGCGACCGCACACTTCACAATCGAATTTTTTGTCGGGGTCATGATGTTTCTTGTGCATACTCAGGTCAGTTATGTGGTGGAAAGTCTTTTGGCATATATCGCATGTGTACTTGCGTTGTTCATTAGGCATATGTGATTCTTCATGTTTTGCTAAACTGGTCTTATCCATGAACCGCCGACCACAGTAAATACAAGGAAGTGGTCGCGATTGAGAATTGTGCAGTGTCAAGTGACGACGTAGCGCCGTGGATGTAGGAAAGTTTTTGTGGCATTCCAAGCACTGAAAGGGTCGATCGCCAGTGTGAGTCTTTCGGTGACGGGCAAGCGAACCTTGATCTGGATACCTGGAAAAAATTAAAACTTGATTTTATAAGAATTCTAATAAGAATTTGATTAAATAAGGTAATATAGAAATAATAGATAATAAGAGACAAAACATGAGACAAAAGATTATATAAAGCTCTAAGTATATGAAACATATATGTCACGCGTGCGTGCGTATGTGTGTAGGTGTTTCATTTTAATTAATTCGTTAAAATATCTCGAGAATAAGACGTATGTAGAAAAGTTTCAGATAAAAGTGGTATGGTTTTGAAGAGGACATATCTTACTTGGTTATGAATAATTTACAACATATTTAATATTTCATGTATGTAATATATGCCAGAATAAAGGATAAAATGTCTCGTAAACTATATTGGTTTTTTGATATCTTTACCTTAATACTTTTATATGAAGGATAATTTGAGAAATCGTTATAATATAAAAAAAAACTGTTTCTAGTTTCATTAAAAAATTTTAGGTAACCTTGTTTTGAACTTAAGGACATCTTCTCAAGATCAAAGTCACCCTCTTGTAACTGAGCAGTTTGTCAAAAATTTCTGTCTTACGGATTTTGAAGTATTCTACTGGATGAATTAAAATGGACTACCTTGTATGTACACACGCACACACATGCGCGCGCTTCATATACAGGGTGTTCGAAAATTACCGGGTAATCGATCACGAGCAGGTAGAACGGACCGAATTGAATCGAAAATTCTTATACCATTTTGTAGGTTGCGCAATAGTTAACGAGATATTAACATTTAAAGATAGTCGAATAAGCGCGTCTGGCCGGCCTACTGCTGCCGAATATACAACCTACCATCCCCACCAATCGCACGGCGTGTGGACCGCTGGGCCACAGTATATACAGTAGCGCAACTCTCTGTCGACACCTTTGATGTCAGTGTTGGCAAAAATGGAGTGCGCATGCGCGAAATCAGTAAGTTCCCCAGTAACGCCATCTAAACTTCTATCTCACTTTCTCTTTAGTTTCCTCTTTCTCTCTTTTATTCTAGCTGCTCTAGTTCATTTGTATGTACAGCAAATTAATTTAAATGTAAAAAACTAAAAGAAATAGATTCATAATTGTAACAGATTGCAAAATAAAAAAAACAAAAATAAAAAAATATAAAATTATACAACAGTTGTATAAGTTAACTATTCTCTTAGGAGAGATCGTTCCTCGTTTCACTTTAATTTTTCCACTTTTTCACTTTTTTTCACTTTTGCACTATTTTTGCTTTTTAGGCACAAACAAGAGTTATTTACAATTTCTCTAACTGACAAGCAGACGACAACTTCTAACACTGACTTCCTCCAAATTTCAGCTTTCCGAATATAAACTGCCATAGGTACATAAACAGAAACATTTAAATGGCCCTGACAGAGAAAACAGAAAAAGAAAGAAGTGAGATAGAAGTTTAGATGGCGTTACTGGGGAACTTACTGATTTCGCGCATGCGCACTCCATTTTTGCCAACATAAAATCAGGAGATTTGCGCTACTGTATATACTGTGGCTGGGCAGTGCACATTTGGCTCCCCGGCAACACGGAATCCAGCCCCACCACTTTTATCCCCACCAAGCAGACCCGGCATCGAATCGGCCATCTTCGCCGTGAGAGCGAGCGAGACAGCGAGAGATAGCGCTCGTCTTTCTCGCTCTACAAGCGAGTATTAAAGCGAAAAGGACGGTCACTCTCTCTCGCTGTCTCGCTTCCTCTAGTATCGTAGTCGCTTGTTATAAGCGACCGATTTTTTCAGAACTTTTTATCAACTTTTTAGTACTGCATTTTCTTATTTTTATCAATATGAAAAAATACGGTATTAAAAAATTTTGAAAAAATTCTGAAAAAATTCTCAGAACTTTATGAGAAGAAAATAAATAATTTTTGTCTCCTGCAGTTTTTCTGTAAAGTTGATAGTAATTGAGTAAAAAATTATTCAAGGCCAATATTTTGCAATTTTTAGTAATTAATATCTTGTTAACTATTGCGAAAATCGCAAAATGGTGGAGGACTTTTCGACTCTGTTTAATCCACTCTATCAACACAAAAGTGATTGGCAAAAAAGGTCGGGATACCCTGTACAGGAATACGCCGAGCGGTCGAGGAGAAAGAACATTTTCGGTTTTCGGTCGCTTATGGCTGTGTTCCAAATTTCAATGCCAGCGCTGAAAATCTACAGTTTACGTTACGTATACTGTACATTTTCAGCACTGGCAGTAAATTTTGGAACACAGTCTATAATAAGCGACTACGACATTAAAGGAAGCGAGACAGCGAAACACAGCGGCCGTCCTTTTCGCTCTAATACTCGCTTGTAGAGCGAGAAGGACGGGCACTGTCTCTCGTTGTCTCGCTCGCTCTCGCGGCGAAGACTGCCGACTCGATGCCAGTAGGTGTCTGCTTGGTGGGGGTACAAGTGGTGGGGTGGCACCCAGTTGGACACGACTCAATTGGACACGAGCCACTCACAGCGCTTGAGACTAC